TTTATTTATTTTTGGGACAGAGAGAGACAGAGCATGAACGGGGGAGGGGCAGAGAGAGAGGGAGACACAGAATCAGAAACAGGCTCCAGGCTCTGAGCCATCAGCCCAGAGCCCGACGCGGGGCTCGAACTCACAGACGGTGAGATCGTGACCTGACTGAAGTCGGACGCTTAACCGACTGCGCCACCCAGGCGCCCCTCAAGGCCTACTTTCAAGATAGCACATCAGAGAAACTTATGAGGGCCACAGAAATAATGCTCTGGACATCATAACCTAAAGCTGCCCAAGCAGTCTCCTGGTCTCAACCTACTCCCAATTACAGCTCATTCTGCATTCATGTGCTAACACATACCTCTTCTGATCAAACACCTTTAATGAAGTCTTTCATAATTTGTCTTTTTCACCTCCTATTACTAACATATAAAACATAATAATTTACTATCTGCCAAATTATTCTACTAATCCTTTCTTAAATATAACTTGTACCTTTCCAGGAACCCAATTATCTTTTTTTTTTTTTTAATTTTTTTTTTCCAACGTTTTTATTTATTTTTGGGACAGAGAGAGACAGAGCATGAACGGGGGAGGGGCAGAGAGAGAGGGAGACACAGAATCGGAAACAGGCTCCAGGCTCTGAGCCATCAGCCCAGAGCCTGATGCAAGTCCCGAACTCACGAATCGAGATCAATGACTCAATGTGAGTTAACCAACTGAGCTACCCAGGACCCAGGTATGTGATTTGGATTCAGGGTTCTGAGTTCAAGCCCCACACTAGATGTAGAGATTACTTAAGTAAATAAAACTTAAAACAAAAAAAAAAAGAGCTGTTAGTTATTCTTTTCTTTTTAAAAAATGTCTACATTTCATGTCTCACCAAAAATCGTTCATTATTTACATACTTCATTTTCTTGCAACGAGTCCACAATCTGTCATATATTATAATTCACAGTGCTCTAATATCCAACTGAATTCCGATTTTTATCAGTTATTTCAGCAAGATTTTTTCAGGCTTTAAGGAAATTCTGATCCTTACACAATTTCGAAATGCTTCTGTCATGGGAAAAGACTTTACTTCTTGGCATTCCTAACTTAGAAAACCGGCATGAGGTTCAAATAAGATTGCACATGTGAAAGGTCACTGAAAATTCTAGCAGCAATACATAAAAACTAAGAATTATCTCCTTAACTCAGAATTTCAAATATTTAAAATAAACTATTTACTACAATCTAACTGCCCTGTTATTTGGTTATTGGTAGTTTATAAAAAGCTCATTTAGACAAAAAAGCGAAAGTCGGCAATAAACCAGATCAAAAATAAGATGCAATCTTATGTAGACTACCCCTCTTGCATACAGCAGTTCAAATATTTTATTCTTGTAATATTTTTGTATAGTTTTAATCCTACCAAAGTAAGTGAAATAACATAAACCTACCAGCATAATGTAACTATTACTATTACCTTCTCTTAAAATTAGCTTTGTCTTCAGTAAGATTCCTACTCTTTCTCCTTACTCATATTAATAGCCTGAATTCATTATTTGTATTAGGTTCAAGTAATAGCTTATTATCTGCTTTGGTCCCAAACGATAAAATCGTCTCATCTAGAAATGGAACGAAGAAGGCCTCATTATTTTTTAAACAGGTTTTTCTTAAAGGAAAAATAATCTAATTAAGCTAACAAATTATATAATTCTATACAACTATTAAGAAGTCTAGAGATCCTTGTAAAATTCATTCTCAGTTTAGAGCCTATGGATGCTCCTGCTAGGATTCTACCCTCTGATCCAATTTTCCAGGCCTAATACTAATTATATGAGAATGTAAATCCTAATAAAAATATTAAGTTGAGGGCAAAACACCTAGGAGATTTTCAAACAACAATTCAACTTGCACCCTGTAAACATTCAAATAAAGAACATTTTGTACTTGGTAAATATGTACGACTAAAAAGATCTGGGAAACCACACACTATGGAAATTCGACACAAACAAAAGCTGTAGATGGACAGACTGGACAGGATAACCTCTGAAACAATATGGATCAAACACTGGTCGAAGAAACATTCCAGGGAGAATGACACCTAAGATTTTCCCGTTAATAACAACGAATAACGGGGCTTTGGGGCTGCACAAACAGGTCCGATCACCTCAACTGCGCTGCAAAACGAAACCGGGACCTAGGAGCCAGCGAGCCGCGGGGCTTTCAGTAGTCTGCACCCACCGGGAGGGCCTGGCAAGCCGGAATGGAGATACCAAGGAAAGGAGCGGGGCCCCTTTCAGGGACTCGCTACACCCCTCTTATCTCCCGCTTCCCAGGGGAGCGCCCCCTGGGGACCCTTCCTCAAATTTACGACTGACTCGCGTCCTCCGCCGACCCCTATCGGGGCGGCCACCAGATCATTCCTGAAACGCAGAGCACTGAGAGAGACTGAGGCCTTCTTCTCGTCCATGCGACCACCACATCCCTAGACCAAGAAAAAGAGGCCACTGCAGCGGCCGCAGCCCCAGCGCGCGGGAGCGAGAACCGAGACCTGCCCCTGGCTGCAGGCGAGGCGCCCTTCGGCCCCGCGCCCCTCCCAGGAGCGCCGCGCTCACCTCCACGGCCTTCCCCGCGGGCCCCGCCAGCACGGCCAATGGTGGCCTGCGGCCGCACCTCCGCAAAATCCTCTCTCACTACCCGGGATTCAGGGAGGTGAGGCGTCGCGTCAGGAAGGTGGGAAAACGGCTCTGCAGCGCTTCCCGCAGGGTCCCCGCCTCCCGCACCGGCCACTTCCCGCAGCAGCCGCAGCTCCTTCCGGTGTCTCCGCGGACGCCGCAGGCGTCTGGGGCGCCGCGGTTGGGCGGGATGGGGCGGAGCTGCAAAGATACCCCGCCCCGCCCCCAGGGCGTGGCCGCGGCGGTAGGGACCAGGTGCGGAGACCCAGGCCTGCCCTCAGGATCAGGGCTTACTTAGTAGTTTGGGTACTGGAACTGAGTACAAATCAGAGCAGTTTTAGGCTTTGGGCTCTTGTTTTTACACGTGTTCTCCCGCTCTTCTGCATTCACGCTATACGGCCTTTAGCAGGTCTTGTCTCAATGCATTAGAGAATTTGCATTAAGCCTGGCTGCTGAAGGGCCTCAGGTTTCCAACCTTAGGCAAAGAAACATCAGACAACTTTTTTTTTTTTTTTTTTTTTTTTTTTTTTTTTTTTTTTTTTGAGGGCGAGAGACAGAGCATGAGCAGGGGAGGGGCAGAGAAAGAAGGAGACACACAGAATCTGAAACAGGCTCCAGGCTCTGAACTGTCAGCACAGAGCCAGAGGCGGGACTCGAATTGGTGAACTGTGAGATCTTGACCTGAGCCCAAATCAGACGCTTAACTGAGCCACCCAGGGGCCCCTTTACAACTTGATTCAACACTGTTTTCTCCTTCTTCTTTCAACTTCTTAGGACTTAGATTCTCTGAAAGTAATTGTCTTTACTTTTCTACATCTGCAAAGGAGAAATTCATCTCTCCTGTTTTCCCCTAAGGCCAAAATCAAAATCATTTATTGAAACCTTAGTATCTGTTTAGTGCCTAGAGTACTGGAAGAGACCTGCCTTCTAATTTATTTAGCTTAAATGTGATCAATTGATTGCTACACAAACAATAAAAGCAGTTAAATTAATGGAAATTATTGTTAAAATTGCCAGTTTCATATATCCAATTACCTCTAACTTTGTGGTCTCCAAAATAGAAGCACATAGCCAAGTGCTATGCAAGATGCTCAATCTCCATCAGAATCAAGTAGAAGATATGGGAGCTTCTACTTCTGTTTTTATGATAAAAGTGGAAAAAATGAACCTTTGCTAGCTATGTAGAGATTGACACAAAGACCTCACTATGAATGGTCACCTACCCTGGATTCATGGAGAGAGAATGGAGTTTTCACAATTTGGAGGGTGCCCATGGCACTACCACTCCTCCCTTTTTTTTCAGCATATTTCAAAATATTGCAGTTTACATGCTATAGGATATCAGCAATGTGGTTAATTTTTATTTTTAAAAATCAAATACCTAAATGTTTTAAATATGACTCCTTTGTTAAGAACTAAGACTGATGGGACACCTGGGTGGCTCAGTCTGTTAAGCATATGAAAGAGGCTCTCATCAATATGCAATATTTTTTAATGTGTACATTTTACATTTAATCAAAGTAAAAATGGTGGGGGAGAAGAAGTGAAGGGGAAAAAGAAGAAAAGAAATAGAGTTAGGAAGAGGGAGAAGGAAGATAATTGAAATGGTCATATCAAAACATACACCTTCTCATATGACTAGGCATTTTTCCAAAGAAGACATCCAAATGGTGGACACATGAAAAGATGCCGAACATCACTCATCATCAGGGAAATACAAATCAAAACCAAGATCAGAGGGGCGCCTGGGTGGCTCAGTGAGTTGAGTGTCCAACTTCAGCTCAGGTCATGATCTCACAGTTTGTGAGTTCAAGCCCCGAGTCAGGCTCTCTGCTCTCTGCAAAGAGCCTGCTTTGGATCATCTGTTCCCTCTCTCTCTGCCCCACCCCCACTCGTTCTCTCTCTCTCTCTCTCTCTCTCTCTCTCTCTCTCAGAAATAAACATTAAAACAAAACAAAAAAACACGATGAGGGGCATCTGGGTGGCTGTCAGTTAAGTGTCAGACTTTAGCTCAGGCCTTGATCTCACCATTCTGTTTCAACCCCACATCAGGCTCTGTGCTGACAACTCAGAGCCTGGAGCCTGTTTCAGATTCTGTGTCTCCCTCTCTGTCTCTGCTCCGTGCGCCCCCGCCCCATTCATGCCCTATCTCTCTCTCTCAAAAATAAATAAAACACTGGGGCGCCTGGGTGGCTCAGTCGGTTAAGCGTCCGACTTAGCTCAGGTCACGATCTCAAGGTCCAGGAGTTCGAGCCCCGCGTCGGGCTCTGTGCTGACTGCTCAGAGCCTGGAGCCTGTTTCAGATTCTGTGTCTCCCTCTCTCTCTGACCCTCCCCCGTTCATGCTCTGTCTCTCCCTATCTCAAAAATAAATAAACGTTAAAAAAAATTTTTTTTAATAAAAATAAATAAATAAATAAAACAGTAAAAATTTAAAAAAAAACAAAACATGATGAGGTATCATCTCACACCTGTCAGAATGGCTAAAATTAACAGTACAAGAAACAACAGGTGTTGGTGAGGATACAGAGAAAGGGGAATGCTCTTGCAATGTTGGTGGGAATGCAAAGTGGTGCAACTACTCTGGGAAACAGTATGGAGGTTCCTCAAAAAGTTAAAAAAGGGACTGCCTAGATGGCTCAGTCAGTTAAGCATCCAACTCTTGACTTCCATGCAGGTCATGATCTCACAGTTTGTGAGACTGAGCCCTGCATCAGCATGGAGCTCCTGCTAGCAGCATGGAGCCTGCTTGGGATTATCTCTCTCTGTCTGTCTCTCTTTCTCTCTTCCTCTCTCTCTGCCCCTCTTCTCTCTCGCTCTCTGTCTCAGAACAAATAAACTTTAAAAAAAAGAAGAAGAAAAAAATCAATAGATGTTCAACTGACTCCATGGGGGAGAGAACCTAAGAAGGTTCCTCTGTACAGATCCTCTTCAGATCCTTCTTACCTAGATTACTTTGATGGCTGCGTGTCTTTCTGACTCTAGTCTCTCCTCTAATTTAATGTTATTATTCTGAACGTAACTCTTTCTAAAACATAAATCCCATCTTGTAACTCTTTAATGAGTCCTTGTTGCCCCAAAAGTGTTTTATTTTGTTTTGTTTTGTCTTGTTTTGTTTCTCATCAAGGGCCTAGGATGAGATAAGCAAGGTACCTAAAGTGCAATATCTAAGGACCTTGCACTTGCCTAAAACAGAGCACCTGTGTACCTTAGGCACTTTGCTTGCCTCATCCTAGCCCCTGGTGGCATTAGTTCCACCCAGATTTTCTCCTCTTATCTCATCTTTTGTTACACCCTATCAAACACATGCAATCCTCAAGCTCTTTGAATTTACATTTCATTCTCCTTTTTTAAAAAAAAAATTTTTTTTTAACGTTTATTTTTGAGACAGGAAGAGACAGAGCATGAACAGGGGAGGGTCAGAGAGAGGGAGAAACAGAGTCTGAAGCAGGCTCCAGGCTCTGAGCTGTCAGCACAGAGCCCGACGCGGGGCTAGAACTCACAGACGTGAGATCATGACCTGAGCCGAAGTCGGCCGCCTAACCGACTGAGCCACCCAGGCGCCCCTACATTTCATTCTCCTAAAGGGCAAAACATTTGCTCTTCGCCTTTTAAAAAAATTTTTTTTAACATTTATTCATTTTTGAGAGTGAGAGAGACAGAGCATGAGCAGGGGAGGGGCAGAGAGAGAGGGAGACACAGAATCTGAAGCAGGCTCCAGGCTCTGAGCTGTCGGCACAGGGCCTGACGCAGGGCTCAGGCATCACAGACTATGAAATCATGACCTGAGCTGAGGTCACTTAACCGACTGAGCCACCCAGGCGCCCCTGCTCCTTGCCTTTTTTATTTAGTGCTGCTTTCCTTAACCCTAAGCATAGAATGACTTTTTGCCTTTTACTCTTTCTCTTAAAAGTGAACTTCACATCCTTCAAGGGTCACCTCCTGGGAGAAGCAAACTTCAACTTCTTAAGGCCATTTGGACCCTTTCTTTTATGGAATATTCTTTAGTGATATTAAACTTCTAGTTATAAATTATACACTGTGGTGTCATTATTATACACCACAGTGATTTATTCACTTTTCCATCTCTTGAACCAAACTGTGAGCAGGGATTTTTCTTATTTTTCCAGCATTCAGCACAGTGCATGCCACAATGTATAAGAATGGACAAATCAATAAATCTGCTATGAAGAAGATGAGTGAATATGAAATTATGAAAGAAACATAAAATATATTTTCTAACTATAAAATATATTTCTAAATTAAGAGAGTAATTTTCTTATACTTTACAAAATGTTTCTCATTTAAATATATAGAAAACAGATGCAACTCTTTTAATTTTATTAATTTTAAAAATAGTATGGTTTTCTAGACTTTTGAAATGTTATAATTTCCAGATATGCAAAATAGGAACTCTTGTTTCCATGTGTTTTAATTTTAATTCTATTGTTCTTGTTCTTTTTTTTTTAATGTTTTATTTATTTTTGAGAGAGAGTGTGAGCAGGGGAGGGGCAGAGAGAGAAAGGGACAGAGGATCAGAAGCAGGCTCTGTGCTGACAATAGAGATCCTGATGCCAGGCTCAAACTGATGAACTGTGAGATTACGACCTGAGCCTTAGTCAGATGCTCAACTGACTGAGCCACTCAGGTGCCTTTGTGTCAAATAACTTTTATTTATTTATTTATTTATTTTAATTTCTATTTTAGAGATAGAATGCAAAAGTTGGGGAGAGGAGCAGACGAAGAGAGGGAGAGAATCTTAAGCAGGCTCCACACTCAACAGGGAGCCTGATGCAGGGCTCAGTCCCACAACCATGGGACCATGACCTGACCTGAAATCAAGAATCAAATGCTCAACCAAGTGAGCCACCAAGGCACCCCAAAGTAACTTTTTTTTAAGTTTATTTATTTATTTTGAGACAGAAAGAGTGAGTGCATGTAAGTGGGGAAAGGGGAGAGAGAAAGAGGGAGAGAGAGAATC